CTTGCCGAGAGCCCGGAGTATATTGTTACGGGGCACAGCAGACTAGTCAGCCCGACACGAGCACCACACTCAACCCTAACTATCCAACCTGCTCATAGGATGAGTCGTACCCCATATCCTAGCTCCCAGCCCATACCCTCTAACTCGATCTCGAACGTCAGCTCTTAATTGTAAACCCAACACTATCCCTACACCCTACAGACGGTACGCCACTCTAGACATTAGTAAAATAACACTGTAGTAAGATATACATTAGGTGACGTTTCGGGCATTGGCCCTTCTTCTGGGTCCCCGATGAAAACGGGACCCTCTGCGTAACACATTCCTGCGGAGGGAGCTGGTAGGAACGTTGGGTTGCTCGGTCAATGGCCAGGGTCAACGGCGGCGTGGTGTATTCCGCAAATATGCCCGACTGTGAGGGCGGGGCACAAGCCGGCGTGAGTAGGTTAAACGTTGAGTTTTATAAGGGCACCACGGGTGACCAGCCCCTCCCCACCCAGCCCCACCCCTCCCACCCCCCTCCCAGCCCCACCCTCCCCATCCAGACCCTCCCCACCCTCCCCTCCCCATCCGGCCCCTCCCCACCCTCCCCTCTCCACCCAGCCCCACCCCTCCCATTTTTGGATGCACGACGAACGGACGGACACAATAATCCCATGTGGGCTGGTGTAACCAGGAGGTTCCTACCAGCATAAATCTTGTCTGCTGTTCGCAGCCACTCGCAATGTCGTCTCTCCTCGCATCTCCCGCCTCCCGCCTCTGTCAACACGGCGAGAGCTCTGCCTCCACACGTTATCTCATCGCTCATTCCTCTCGCTGCTGCACCCTGGCACTCGCGTGATAACACCGCGTCCGTTTACTCATTACTCCCAGGGTGGGTGGGTGCGTGGGTAGGTGAGTTGGGGCGTGGATTTGGTGGGTGAGAGGGTGGGGTGGGTAGGTGGGTTGGGGCGTGGGTTTGGTGGGAGAGAGGGTTAGGGTGGGTTGGTGAGTGGGAGTGTGGGGTTGGTGGGTGAGAGGGTGGGGTGGGTTGGTGAGTGGGAGCGTGGAGTTGGTGGGTGAGAGGGTGGGGTAGGTAGGTGAGTTGGGGCGTGGGTTTGGTGGGAGAGAGGGTGGGGTGGGTTGGTGAGTGGATTTGGTGGGTGAGAAGGTGGGGTGGGTTGGTGAGTGGGGGCGTGGGTTTGGTGGGTGAGAGGGTGGGGTGGGTTGGTGCGTGGGTTTGGTGGGTGAGAGGGTGGGGTGGGTTGGTGAGTGGGTTTGGTGGGTGAGAGGGTGGGGTGGGTTGGTGAGTGGGTGAGTGGGTTTGGTGGGTGAGAGGGTGGGGTGGGTTGGTGCGTGGGTTTGGTGGGTGAGAGGGTGGGGTGGGTTGGTGAGTGGGTGAGTGGGTTTGGTGGGTGAGAGGGTGGGGTGGGTTGGTGAGTGGGTTTGGTGGGTGAGAGGGTGGGGTGGGTTGGTGAGTGGGTGAGTGGGTTTGGTGGGTGAGAGGGTGGGGTGGGTTGGTGAGTGGGTTTTGGTGGGTGAGAGGGTGGGGTGGGTTGGTGAGTGGGTGAGTCGGTTTAGTGGGTGAGAGGGTGGTGTGGGTTGGTGAGTGGGTTTGGTGGGTGAGAAGGTGGGGTGGGTTGGTGAGTGGGAGCGTGGGTTTGGTGGGTGAGAGGGTGGGGTGGGTTGGTGAGTGGGTTTGGTGGGTGAGAGGGTGGGGTGGGTTGGTGAGTGGGTGAGTGGGTTTGGTGGGTGAGAGGGTGGTGTGGGTTGGTGAGTGGGTTTGGTGGGTGAGAGGGTGGGGTGGGTTGGTGAGTGGGTTGGGTGGGTGAGAGGGTGGGGTGGGTAGGTGAGTTGGGGCGTGGGGTTGATGGGTGAGAGGGTGGGGTGGGTTGGTGAGTGGGTTGGGTGGGTGAGAGGGTGGGGTGGGTAGGTGAGTTGGGGCGTGGGGTTGATGGGTGAGAGGGTGGGGTGGGTTGGTGAGTGGGTTAGGTGGGTGAGAGGGTTGGGGTGGGTTGGTGAGTGGGTTGGGTGGGTGAGAGGGTGGGGTGGGTTGGTGAGTGGGTTGGGTGGGTGAGAGGGTGGGGTGGGTTGGTGAGTGGGGTTGGTGGGTGAGAGGGTGGGGTGGGTTGGTGAGTGGGTTGGGTGGGTGAGAGGGTGGGGTGAGTGGGTGAGTGGTTTGGTGGTGAGAGGGTGGTGTGGTTGGTGAGTGGGTTTGGTGGGTGAGAGGGTGGGGGTGGTTGGTGAGTGGGTGAGTGGGTTTGGTGGGTGAGAGGGTGGTGTGGGTTTGTGGGTTGGTGAGTGGGTTTGGTGGGTGAGAGGGTGGGGTGGGGTTGGTGAGTGGTTGGGTGGGTGCGAGGGTGGGGTGGGTAGGTGAGTTAGGCGTGGTGTGGTGGGTGAGAGGTGGGGGTGGGTTGGTGAGTGGGTTTGGTGGGTGAGAGGGTGGGGTGGGTGGTGATGGTTTGGGAGTGAGAGGGTGGGGTGGGTTGGGTGAGTGGGTTGGGTGGGGTGAGAGGGTGGGGTGGGTTGGTGAGTGGGTTGGGTGGGTGAGAGGTGGGGTGGGTTGGGAGTGGGTTGGGTGGGTGAGAGGGTGGGGTGGGTTGGTGAGTGGGGTTGGGGGTGAGAGGTGGGTGGGTTGAGTGGGGTTGGTGGGTGAGATGGTTTTGGTGGGTTGGTGAGTGGAGTGGGTGGTGAGAGGGGGGGTGGGTTTGTGAGTGTGTTGGTGGGTGAGAGGGTGGGTGGTGTGAGTGGGTTGGGTGGGTGGAAGGGTAGGGGTTGGGTGAAGTGAGTGGGGTTGGGTGGGGGAGAGGGTGGGGTGGTTTTTGAGTGGGTTGGGTTGGGTAGAGGGGTGGGGTGAGTGAGGTGATGGGTTTTGGTGGGTGAGAGGGTTGGTGTGGTGGTGAGTGGGTTGGGTGGTGAGAAGTGGTGGGGTGGGTAGGTATTGGGGCGGGTGGGGTGGTGGGTGACAGGGTGGGGTGGGTAGGTGAGTGGGTTTGTGAGTAGTAGGTGCGTGCTCGGGTAGGCGAGTGGGTGGGTGGGTTGGTGGTGTTGTGGTTCGCAAGCTGCGCTTAGTCTTGTCCAGCTTCGTAGGTACGGTGACATTGGGTACACGGAATAAATGAAAGTTCGACGTTTCGCTGCACCACGCGCTGGCAGCTTTACACACAAAATGAACGCAGATGCACATGGCGTTTTATGGTTGAGACGCCTTAATGCTTTTTTGTGTGTGGGCTGTTACTGTCTTTGCTTAATTGGCTCAGAATCTCTCGAGCAAATATCACGCTTTGAATAAACCGGAGGCCCATACGGACAAGTACACAGATAAGCGGCAGCTCTGCAAGATCAGAACAAGATTATTTTGGATTGCTTATTTTATTTTTCAACCAGGGCGGGTTTGCGTCAGACGAGAGCTCATATCTAAACAGAGAGGGACCTTAACCCGTGAACACGTGACAGTTCAGCAGCGTCGGTTCTGCTGCTGATGAACTGTGCACTCACACAGCAGGCGCGTACGGCTGATGGGATGTGTTAAACAATAACTTGTACATACTCTTCGATTTAAAGCTTTCGTGACTGCAGGGATTCATCTTCTTGGTTCTTTCGGTAAAGTCACGTAGAATGGAAATAATAAAATAATAAAAATAAAACATAAATGCATATAGAGAGCTATATTTATTTTATTATGTTTTATTTGTATTAGTTTATTATTTCCCTTCTACGTGACTTTACCGAAAGAACCAATAAGTTGTACATACTCTATTTTCTTATTTGCACAAATGACCAAAATATGAAGAAGGAGGCGTCGCGTGCGACTTTGTATTTTGATTCGATGAGAATGTTTTCTTTTAAATAATAAAATTGGCCAAAATACAAAATTGGAGCTCGTTGCTGCGTAGGGCCACGTTGGCTGACACGTGGCCTCGCGTGTCGCGATCCGAGCTCTGATTGCCACTGAACGCACATGGCGCTGATACTGATGGTGAATTCGAGGCGGGGTTGGGGAGAAGGCTAGGTGAGGCCTTAATCCAGCAGTAGATTGACAAAAAGTCTGTGTTTCTTAAAAATGCATCTAAAGAGGAAGGACAGAGCACTCAACCTCGACGTTCGACAGAAAACTGACAGCGAAGGCATGCATAAGCAGTCAGGATTGAGTAGGTTGTGATGGATATGATGCGTGTGTAGGATGCATGATAGGCCCTGGATGTCCGGTGGCACTTCTTGGGTTTGATCCAGGCTCACTGACGCCTGTATATTTGAAGTTTGTAAGTTCTCCCCGTGGTCGCGTGGATTTTTCTCCGCGTTTTTTCCCTCCACGTTCAGAAATGTGCGTTTAGAGTATGTGACTGCTGTAGGTGTCCACGTGATAAGCCACTTCGTTGAGCTATCATTTGCGGCCAGGTCGCTTCGTAAAAATAGCTACATAGCTCAGTGGCCCTTACCAGGTAAAATACCAAAAGAAAATCTAGTTGAGAATGGAGGAGTCCTCGACAAACCAATTTGCTTATCAGCCAGTCATCGTTCACTTAGCTGCAGGTATCTCAATCCTCTCCTCCACCTCCTCTGTCTCGGTTGTCTGGAACTCCCTTACCCACAGGCAGCCAGGCGCTGGGTGGATTGTGGCATCGCAGGAACACGAGATGCGAAATAAGTTCAACATGCACACGTAACGCAGCGGTGGCGTAGGTTTGGGTGGGTAGGGCATTCATTGAGCAGTGGATTGGGATGTTTGCACACAGCGTTGGTGTACGGTGTTTTTTCTGCAATATTTTGCTGTCTTTTCTTGCATTTTCTGTTTGCACTTAGTCACATATTCACTTTAAGATGTTTTTTTGTTCATGTGTTTTGTTTTTTGTTTGTTGCGGTTGCACCCGATTCAAGAGCCGAATGGCTCACAGGGCTCTACCTAATAAATGAACTTGAACTTGATGGCGATTGTCATTGTGCTGGGCAATTACTGACCGTGTGAGTTTGTGGTCCTGTCAATGCGTCGGGACAAGCGATGAGACGGCGCACACACGAGGTTTCGTTTACGGTTTTATTATTTCATTGTGATCGGTAACAAATGCAATGGGATTAAAAAACACAATTCTTGAGTGAAAGCTGGATGGATGTGATGAAGGCGTCCTGGTGTCAGTCTCCGTTCCTCTCATCCTGTGGAGAGACAGAGGCAAAGGTTCCCCCCGCTTAGCCTCGGACCATCGGGGCAAGTGCAGTGTGTGCGAGCACTTCTATCGAGGGGAAACATTTAGGTGAGTGTGCCCGCTTCTCGATAAGAGTACGTCCCGAACCGCACCACAACCCCTTAACGGAGCTTCAATCGCATCGACTCATCCTGAGCAGAGTTCACGTGCACACCCCCCCCGTCGTTACAGACCGATGGGGCGGAGAGAGCTACAGTATGTGACATGAATTCGCAACCTCGGGTTCGAAAACGCATTCCTGATCAAATATGACGAGAGGCTAAGCGACGACGCAGCGAGATGATACCGACGGCATTTGCGCTGTGCGTTTGACACGGCTTTGGGGTCGGAGTGTGACCCATAGCTAACCGAGCGATGGTCCTTTACGATAAAAAAAAAAACATCTGGCGCTTCACCAGCATCGCTTCACGCGAGCCCGATACATATTTACTTGTGCGGTTTATACACCAATAGCAGAACCACACGAGGAAGAAAGAGAGAGAGTGATGGAGGGGTATGGCCTGTGCAGTCCTGAAACGACCCCCTGGCAGCAGCTGCTGGATCGGCCCGCACGGGTTGTTTGACCGAAGCTGATTGAAGCGGTCTGCAGGGCGCGGCATCTTTACTGGGCGGCGTGGGAGGGGTGGTCGTGGCGGGACACTGTTCGTTGCTGTGATTGCGTTTTTGCTTTTTTACAGCTTCAGTGTGTGGTGTGCGGCAATAGCGCTGGTTAGAGATGATTATTGCGGTGGTGGTGGTGGTGTTGGGCGTGGTGATGGTGGGGTTAATGATTGTAATGTTGAGGATTATGGTGGTGGTCAGTGTGGTGGTGGTGGTGGTGTTGGGCGTGGTGATGGTGGGGTTAATGATTGTAATGTTGAGGATTATGGTGGTGGTCAGTGTGGTGGTGATGGTGGTGTGGTTAATTATTATATTGAGGGTGATGATGATGGCGGTGTTGTTAATGGTTATACATTTTTGTCGATGATGGTGGTGGTGATGTTGAAGGTGTTGACGGTGGTGGGCGGGGTTGAGGATGAATTATGTTGAGGATGATGATGGTGGTGCTAGAGGTGGTGTTGTTGCTGGTCGGGTTGGTAATTCATTGATTATTATAAAGTCGAGAGAGGGGAGGCTTCATCCAGCAGTGGATCGATCATTCAGAAAAGTAAGTCGGCTTTGGCAGGACGCATCCCTGGAAGGGATGAAAGACGGTGATCAAGAAGATGAAGTGGCTGCCGAGGAGATGGAACGCATCACACAGAGAGAGAACCTCCACCACGGAAGAGATACAACGATGACATTAGTTCGTGTGGAGGTGTTGGGTGGATTGTGCCATGGCAGGATACTTGGAGAGGCCTTCATCCAGCAGTGGATTGATCATGTCTGATTATGATGATGTGCATGCGTGCGTGAAGTGCTCGGCAAAGTGTAGCTTTAGACTGTACCAAGTAGTGCGGTGATGGTGGGACAGGAGGGGGTGGGGAAGCATTGGATTGATCATGTCGGATTATAATAATGCACGTGCATGAAGTGCAAGGTTAAGTGTAACTTTGGACCGTACCAAGTAGCGTGGTGATGATGATGGGGGGCAGTGGATTGGTAATGTGTGACTAGAAGTGCAAGATTAGGTGTAACTTTGGACCGTACCAAGTAGCACGGTGATGATGGGGGGGGGGGGGGGGGCAGTGGATTGGTGCAAGATTAGGTGTAACTTTGGACTGTACCAAGTAGCGTGATGATGATGGGGGAGGGGGGGGCAGTGGATTGGTAATGTCTGATTCGAAGTGCAAGATTAGGTGTAACTTTGGACCGTACCAAGTAGCGCGGTGACGGTGGAGGAGGGGGGGGTGGCGTTGTGGACGACGGACATGCCCATTAGTTGTACGTGTGGCTCTCCGTGCCACCGTGACCGAAACCTGGATGGGGACAGCGGACAGAGCACGTGACGAGAGCGTGACGCCACCTGTCACCGCCGTGCCTTGCCGAGACCGGTGACGGATACAACAACAACAGCAACAACAACAACAACGACTGTCATGATCTCACCCGCAAAGGGAGATGTGATAATGGTGGGGGCGGAGATGGGCTTCGGTTAAAAATAAAAATAAACCACGAAATCATGGAGAGAACTGTACAAGCGTGGCTTCCAAAGTGAGAAAACAAATTGTGATGCTGCTGTTGGCAAACAAGCGCAATTAACAAGACGAAAACAAAAAACACCTCAACGCATCCGTCAAGAATGCTGCCTTGAAATAAACATGTTGGGGCAATGGGCCTTCTTGGAATTTAGGGCAGACTCATTGCGCTGTGTGTGGCAGTCGCTCCTTCTCAGTTGGGGACAAGTCATGTCGGCGCACGACGCTGTGATGTGGTCGGCACTACGATCTAATTTATGGCCGGGTAGACCCAGGGGGAGGACCACGGCGTGCTCTGAGAAACGCTTGATACAGCAATCGTGCTGTGACGGTTCCACCTGAAGACGGAAGCTTGTGTTGCCTCCGAAACGTCGTGATTTTTATTTTACTTTTATTAATTTTAATTTTATTTTTTTACGTGACTTTACCGAAAAAACCTAAGAGTATCACAAGTATGGTCAAACAAGTCCCACAAACAAGACGCGGCGTTGGGAGGCCCAGCAGGGGACTCGTTGCGGGATCACCTTTGGGGCCGAACGTCGCCGCGTAGCATGGCTTGTGGCAGTACGGCTGCCCCTCGTGCTGATGGTTCAGAAACACACGAAGACGCACGTGGCAAGGGTCGCGCGGTTAGTAGCGCTCATCCAGAGCACTTCTCGCTCCAGCCCGTATAGTCCAGTTCGTAGAGTCCAGTCCGTACTATCCAGTATGGACAATCTTTCATCTACATACATTCCTCGACTTATGAACACTCCACTTACGAATGTCCGCACTTACGAACCAGGTTCCATTTTTTTCTTCTAAGATCGACTTAAAATGCAAAACTAATACTTGCAAACTGAACCGCTGAACTATTTTGTTCAGAGGAGCGGCCCTCAGTGACATGTGATGAGGCAGTCTCGCGCTGGGAGTGAGTGTTTGTGTGGTGTGTGTGTGTACGCGCGCACGCACGCACATGTATGTGTCTGAAAGTGAGTGAGTGTGCACGTGTGTGTGTGTGTGTGCATGCGCGTGAGTGTGTGTGTTTGTGGGGAGCAGTAGTGCAATGGTAAGCGCGCTGCGCCACGAACCCGGCGACCCGAGTTCGATTCCCGCTTGTGCAATTGTGGAGTCTTGGGCCTCTTCCTCTAGGTCGACTCAGCCTCAAATGAGTACCTGGTGCGGTGTGTAACCATCACCACTAGGGAGACAAAGACGGTCGGGCGTGGTGCTGGCCACCCACCCCCTCGTGTGCTCGCCAACAGCACTTGCCCCTACAGTTTGTTAAGGCTATACAGGGGATCTTGGTCTTTATTTTCTGTGCAATAAGCAAGTCAGCATCGGGACTTAAGATAAGTGAAAATAAAATGGATTTTTTTCTCTATTTATGGTACTTTATTTTATGTTTTACTTACTCTACGTATTACAGTATCACCCGCAAATGTGCAATAGTTCTTCTTATTTATGGGTTTAACAATGTTTCACTTTGTTGTTATAACACTGATCGTTCGTGCATTTGAATGCAGCACATTATTGCGTTCCGACTTACGAACCGCTCCACTTACGAACGGAGTACAGGAGCTGATTATGTTCGTAAGTCGAGGACTGTCCGTACATTACTCCAGGACGTCTACCCGCGTTAGGGCGCCACCCTACAGCACTCTGCGATCTGCAATCTCCAGTCCGTGTACTCCAGTCCGTGCACTCCATTCCGTGTACTCCAGTCCGTACACTCCAGTTCGTACACTCCAGTTCGTACACTCCAGTCCGTTCACTCCAGTCCGTACACTCCAGTCCGTACACTCCAGTTCGTACACTCCAGTCAGTTCACTCCAATCCGTACACTCCAGTCCGTACACTCCAGTCCGTGTACTCCAGTCCGTACACTCCAGTCCGTATACTCCAGTCCGTGTACTCCAGTCCGTGTACTCCAGTCCGTACACTCCAGTCCGTGCACTCCAGTCCGTTCACTCCAGTCCGAATACTCCAGTCCGTACACTCCAGTCCGTGCACTCCAGTCCGTTCACTCCAGTCCGAATACTCCAGTCCGTACACTCCAGTCCGTGTACTCCAGTCCGTGTACTCCAGTCCGTGTACTGCAGTCCGTGTACTCCAGTCCGTACACTCCAGTCCGTACACTCCAGTCCATCGACAGTCAGTCCGAACACCACTTAATCGCTCACTCCAGTCCGTGTACTCCAGTCCGTACACTCCAGTCCGAATACTCCAGTCTGTACACTTCAGTCCGTGCACTCCAGTCCGTACACTCCAGTCCGTCGACAGTCAGTCCGAACGCCGTTTAATCGCTCACTCCAGTCCGCGTACTCCGGTCCGCGTCTCACCTCGGCGTGGGAGCCAGGGGTCAGCGTCTTCTTGCACTTGGCGCAGGTGAGGCAGGGGCGGTGCCAGTCTTTACCCAGCGAGGTGACCCTCTCGGCTAGGAGGAGAGTGGAGGGGGGGGTAAATACATGTTTTATTTACGCATACAGAACTTGTTTACCAAGCGGCACCTCACGAGTTTCACGTTTGTGGATAATTACCCCCCCCCCTCTTTTTTCCAGGGCAATTGCCGAGAAACGCTGTATTTGTACGGATATATTGATATCTTTATTTTCCTTTTTTACGTGGAATTGTACCTAACTCATAGTAGCTCGCGTTCACTGATTAAAATCAGGCTTTTGTTAATACCGGTTTTTTTATGCAAAAAAGCGTTTCCGTAGTCAGATGCATTCTGCTGATAATGATACAGTCCGACCACAGCCACTCACCCACTCACTCTGCAGTCACAGAGCCGGGATCACAGCAGAACCCATCAAACCAGAAGGGATGTATAAATCACTCCATTACATCGTCACGAACTACTCACTTACCAATCACCCCCTTTGTTAATTCACTGCTGGATAAAGGTCTCCCTCTCACACTCCGTGACGGTCATAGGGGGGTGTTGTTTGACCATACTTCACCACGCTGGTCAGTGCAGCTTGGTGAAGGAAGGGCGTAGCTAGATGACTACGGGGATGGCCGTGGACTTTGGCAAAGACGAACGAACCATCACTCGCCACTGTTGTTATCGGCGTGGCTGGAAAACCAATGATCAGTGCAGTACAGGCGGCTCCACTGACATACGTGAGGTCCAGTTCCTAGGAAGTATGTCGCAGGTCGAACCGGCTTAAGTGGAGGACTTACTTCCGAAGTTCAACATGCATACGAACATACCGCACCGCCCGCAGTGGATCAGCGGCACGAACATCGAGGAAGAAACGGGGATAGTGCGCCGAGAAGGCCCGGGCAAGGTGCCTTATTACACGGGCAAGGTGGCTTATTACACGGGACGGCCACGCTTACTCTGATGCGGGTGTTAAAGCAACACTCCCGCCCAGCTGGAGGGAGGGATGGAGGGAGGGAGCGTGGGATGGGTGAGCAGCGAAGGCACCTCTACGTTGCCGCTGCCAAGTATTGCGTTGTCAAATATCTAGGGGAGTTCGTGTGTTCGTTCGGCGAAGGTCGCCCGCGATCCAGGCTCGTGTGGAAGGTCGTCGACCAGCTGCAGCAGTAGCAGCAGCAGAAGCAGCTCACGCCACGGTGTTTATTCTATGGGTCTTTCGGTAAAGCCACGTAGATAGAAAAATAATAATAAAAATACCACGACGTTTCGAAGCGTGGCAGAGGCGGAATCAGCTGTGTGAGTGTGTTTTTTTTACTATTTTTAGTTTACCAGGTAATAGCTCTTTTTTTAGAAGCGACCTGGCCGCAACAAAACGAAGTGGAAAAGTAGAGCGGCCAAATACTCTAAACGCATGCCGATTCTAAATGTGGAGGGAAAACCGGAGGACCCGGAAAAAAAATCCACGCGATCACGGGGAGAGAGACACGCAAACTTCAAATATAGAGCAGCAGGCGTCAAGGTCGGGATCGAACCGACGCCCACATTGTCATAGTTTATTCGTTTCCTTATCCCATTCACCTCCACCACTCCCCCCCCCCCCCACCGTACATATCTGACCTTTGACGCGACCCCTGTCACTTACCGCCTAAGAACATTTCACCTGGAATGCGCCCCATCTCGTCCGATCTCCAACGCTAAGCAGGGTTGGAGATCGGATATATCATAGTTGGATGGGTCACCATCCACCATCCACAACCACCACCTAACCAAGCTTTCCCAGTGGCGGGAGTCAGCTTACGGCATGCGCAGGTGTTGGCCCCCGTGCATAACAGATGCTATCGGCTCATGTCAGTGCCAGGTGGTGGACAGGAGACAGTCAAGTGCAGCACGAGCGATCGTTGTACTGCACTGCCGTGCTCCCACCAGCTCAGCACTGACCAGCGTGTTGGTGAGAAGTTGTCACGTGACCACCACCCGCCCGATCACACCTAAACTCTGGTCGTATCATCACCACCAATGTTGTCCACACCTGCGTCTCACGAATGCCGCGGCCACGTTCACGACCTCTCGGGCGGGCCCCCAGGGCGCGTGATGGCAAGCGAGGCGTCAACGTGACGGCTGATACGCGATGCACAACGTGTTAACAGCAGAGAGTGTGTGCGTGTGGGAGCCAAGCAGCTCGCTTGGCTCCCACACGCACACACTTTCTCAACCTCGCTCTCGTCGCCAATACCAATACAATGCCGACACCCGACACTCGCTACTCAGTGGCGGCGACGTCACCGCGGCGCCCGTGCCAGGCCAGGTGCACTTTGAGGCCACGTGAACTCGTCGAAGACTCGATGACGAAGGATGTCACGGGACAGACCCAGGTGTGCCATAGGGGTTGACTGACTGAGATGACTGGCAGATGCACCAGCTGTGCCCCCTACTGTGTCAACTTCCCCCACACTAACAAAGATCCCCCGTAAAGACCTAGACTATAAGGGCAAGTGCTGTGAGCGAGCACCTATGAAGGCCGGAACGACACACGACTGCGTGGGTGTCCAGCACCACGCCCGGCCGCCTTTGTTTCCCTAGTGGAGATGTTTTTACGCACCGCACCAGGTACTCATTTGAGGCTGAATCGATCTAGGGTAGGCTCAGAACCGGTTCAGATAATCGTCACTGGTATTGACTGTGAGCGAGAATCGAACCCTGGTCGCCGGGTTCGTAGCGCAGCGCGCTAACCGCTACGCCACCGCTCCCCACTCACACACCAAAGACAAAGATCCCCCGTATAGCCTTAACAGACTGTAGGGGCAAGTGCGGTTAGCGAGCACTTATACACACACACGCCACACTCACACACACAGACGCGACCCTCACCGAAATACACCTCCTTGGTGCACTTGGGACACTTGGGCATGGTTGCGGATGAAATCGGGGTGGCGTCTCTTCGTGGTCTCGGATCTCCTCCTCCTCTCTCGCTCTGCTTTGCTCGCTGCTGCCGCCGCCGCCGGAGGAGAGTGAGTGAGTGAAGCCGGCCCTCGGCGTGCGGGTTTATTTAGGCGGGTGGGGTGGGGTTGTGGTGGTGGTGGTGTGGATGGGTTCGGACTGGACTGGGTTGTGGCGATGATGTCGTGGAGCGGCGTGTAAGCGGTGGGTGGGGCAAGTTTTTCTTCTTTTTTTCACGACGAGGGAGTGGTAGTGAACGTGGGCGTGTGGAGGAGGCGGGGGGGGGGTGTCGCGCGTGCGATTTTGTACGAACTCAAAATGTTTCCCAACTCGACGGAGTCTCTCGCGGCGTGCGCGTCATTTGATCACCGTGCTCGCTACTCACGCGTTCCCCAATCTGTTCCATTCGCACGATTGAAAGTACGTTCCCTGTTCAAACCCAAACTCACAAGGCCTTCTCCACCTTCTCCGACTCCTGACTGTATAGAGCTGAGATATAGACCACCTCGTTCCTCTTTTAGTCTCCCACACCCCACAACCGCCACCCCTCCCCCCCCCAATAAATTAATTAATAAATACTCCTCCGCATAGCTTCCATGTACGCTGTTGGGTGAAGTGCTGTTGAACGAGAACGCCGGAAAGTCAGCGTGGCGCACGAGGAAATCGCGTGGCTAGAACCACCCCGGGCCGCCTTTTTAAAATCCTTTATATTAAGTTCACTTGCTTGCTTGCTTAGGACCGTGCAAATCTTTCGGTCGTTTTTTTAACCCACTTCCCGTGATCAAATCGAGCTGACATTTTCCACACAGACTCGTTGTGCGTGACAATTAATGTTCGTGACATTTTTTCCCCAAAATTTTACACTTATTAGGAATGTTTTTTATATTTAATTACCAATTGCTTAATGCTGCCATGCAATCATCTGACCCATAGGTGGCAGCCATCTCAAGCCAGAGGACGAGAGGACTCTAGCCGCCACGCATATAAAGGATTTATAGTGCCGATGTTGAACCTAGCGCACCAAATGTACTCACAGCACGCATGCCGACTTTGCTGTCGCACCGTACTCATTCGAGGCCGAGTCGACCTCGAGGAGTCCCAGCACCGGTTCAGACAGAGTGTCACGCTGGTGTTGGTATGTCGTGAGCGGGATGTAGGGGCGACGGGTTCGTAGCGCGGCGCGCTGATCGCTACACGGTGCGCATTGCGTGTTCAGTCGCCCCCGTGCCTAAAAACCGCGTTGACGAGTGTCGGGGCGTTCGTGGTCTCGGCGCGACTCACTGCACCCCCCCCCGTCAACCTTGCTCCCTACCCCCCCCTAGCAGCGCTGGATCAAGCTCGTGCGGGGGCCTGTCGTATATGTTGTTATAAAGGGGCCCTAAATACAAAAAAACACGTAAATATTAAAACACAATATTTTTTACTTGCAAAGTAGAGTAATTGTATTTTTTCATTTACTATACAGCTAGATTATACTACAAATCGCTAACCTCAAACACCCAGTCGTTCATGAAAGTCGAAGGCGGTATAGTACTCTAGTAATAGAGCAAGTGAAGAATCACTGAAACGAAATTGATAGCTTGAAAGCGTTTAGCGCGGGGCCCTTTAAAGTGCGGGGACCGTAGCTACTACACGTGTAGCTACTACACGTGTAGTAGCTACACGTGCAGTAGCTACACGTGCAGTAGCTACACGTGCAGTAGCTACACGTGCAGTAGCTACACGTGCAGTAGCTACACGTGCAGTAGCTACACGTGCAGTAGCTACACGTGCAGTAGCTACACGTGTAGTACCCGAAGCTGGCCACATTTAGAATCGGCGTGCGTTTCGAGTATTTGGCTGTTATACATTTGCACGTGATTAGCCACTTCGTTGAGCTATCATTTGCGGCCAGGTCGCTTCTGAAAAAGTGCTGCATAGTTCATTGGGGCCTTACCGGGTAAAATAAAAAAAGTTTAAAAGTTTAGTTTAGAACTCGGTTCACGGCATACGTAGCACAGAGTGCTAACACAACTGTATTAGCGCCCCCTTCAACAAATATCACTCTCAATCAATGTATTCAAGTCGTGTTTGCATTGCACTGCTTGCATGTTTAGTTTGCAGTGGCCCGTGACAACCCACTGCTGGATGAGGGCTTCCCCACGCTTTGTCGGTCCACGATTGTTGTTTGTTCGGAGCCATACTTCACCACCCTGGTCGGAGCGGGTTTGGTTTAAATGAAGGGTGGTGGCGATGCGCTTCCAGTTGCCGCGTGTCCAGATAGTTCCAAGTTTAAGTTGCTTAACGAGGAGAGAGATAGAGAGTGGGGGAGATGAAACTGAACTAAACTAATTTAATTTCACCAGGTGAGGCCCACTGAGCTGCAACCTGGCTATTACAAATGACAGCCCAATGAAAGTGGCTTATCATGTATAGCAGGCAAAAATTCCAAACGCGTGGTTCTAAATGTGGAGGGAAACACCGGAGGACCCGGAGGAAAAAAATAAAAACAGGCGTCAGGGTCTGGATCAAACCCACGAAATACCACCGGACATACAGGGTTTATCATGCATCCTACACACGCATCCATGACAACCTACTCAATCCTGACTGCGTATATATTCCTTCGCTGTCAGATTTTCGTCGAACGTCGAAGTTGAGTGCTCTGTCCTTCCGCGAAATCCCAAGCACTCAGCCTCATCCTATGTTGAATGTCTGCACCCACATGATCAACGATAGCTTCTGCTGCCGATAGCTGGTGTGTGTAGAGTCGCTGACCTACCGCACACCAGGCGAGGTAGTTAACATCTCGCCACCGTTGGGCCCTCCCCGAGATAATATCGAACCCACGACCTCCTGGGGAGACCCGCACCTGAGTCACCATGCAGCATCCTCTACTGCGACGGGAATCTAACTGAGGTTAGGAGAGTTTGGAGAGAGAAGACGAGAGAGAGAGATAGATAGACAGGGAGATCGCCTGTCGATGCAGGGGCTGCTGTATCAGCCGCCTGGGATCACCATGCAGCACCCTCACCACGGCCGGGGGAATCCAACTCAGGTTTGGGCGGGTTCAGAGCGCAGTGCAGCCGAACCCGAACGGAGCTTTCGACCTCGGGGTTAAAAGGCGCGGGCGTGTGGCACGCGTTACGAGCCGTGTCTCTCGCCACCGTCGGGAGAGGACTTTGGCTGGCTTTCTTGCGCGTCGTGGCAGATGCAGCAAGCCCCAGCCATCAACAGCCACTCCTCCCTCCATATCTCTCTATCTATCTATCTTTCTCTATCTTTCTCTCTCTATCTTTCTCTGTCTATCTTTCTCTCTATATATGTCTCTATCTCGCTTTATCTCTCTCTCTTTCTATCGTCGTCCCCTCTCTCCTGGCCCGACACGATCTCTGGTTTTTCATGACGCACGTTCTCCCATTATCGTTTGTTTTGAAGCTGTCATTGATTACCGAAGGGTCAACGTGCCACTTTTAAGAGGTCGTCGCGGGCAAGACTGTTGAGGTTGCCTCCTCCACTCCCCCCTAACCCCCCCCCACCACACTCACCGCCGTCGCTTCCTTCTTTCTGCCCTATGTCCCGTAGCGGGTTTGTAGAGTCGAGACCCGACTCTCAAATCAGTCGAATCGCCGCTGCCGCTGTCTCCACCTGGATTGTGGTCTCCCTCTTGTTGCGACGGTGGCTTGACTTTGAAGGCCCTCTCATCACCACCACCACAATAACCACCACCACAATCACCATCACCACCACCACAACCACCACCACAATCACCACCACCACCATAATAACCACCACTCCTTCTCCTTGGTCCCCGGCCTCTGGGTGCCACTGCCTGTGCCCGCCTCGATCACGTGCCCTCCTACACCCTGCGCACGTGTTCATAGCGTGGTGCACTAACCACTGCGCCACCACTCCCCAACGACCAGCCTAGACAGACGCTTGGGGCAGGTGCTGCCAGGTGCCTGCGTTGTCACTCTCAGTCACTCCCCCAGTGGTGCCAACTGGTGGCTGAGTCAGCCCGACGGGTGTAGCCCTGCGCCACCAACCCGGCGTGCCGAGTTCGATTCCCCGATGTGACGATGGGCAATCTGACCCGAGATGACCGGCAGATGCATCACCCACACCTGTACTACCCATTCACACAAAAGACAAAGATCCCCCGTATAGCCTTGAAGAGACTCGTGGGACAGGTGCTGTTAGCGAGCATCAATGTAGGCAGGCACGGCACACGAGGGGATGGGTGGCCAGCATCACGTCCGACCGCCTTTATCTGCCGAGCGACGATGTTTACACACCGCACCAGGTACACGTTTGAGGCTGAGTCGACCTAGGAGAGGCCCAGGATCGATTCAGATAATCGTCAGTGGTGTTGGCCGTGATCAGGAAGCGAACTCGGGTCGCCGGATTTGTAACGCAGCGCGCTCAGCACTGTCCCGCACACACTCACCCCCAACTGACCCAAAGACAAAGATCCCCCGTATAGCCTACAGACTGCGAGGGGCAAGTGCTGTTAGCTAGCACATACGAAGGCATAACCCCAACACAGTGTCACACACACACGCGCACACATCACTCACGTATCGTACCCCCTGGAGGGTTGAAATTATTAATGACATCCGAGTTCAGAAGGGTCGTATAACCGGTCAGCGGGTGCTCGTGTGTGGGTAGTGTGAGGTGTGGTGAGGGCAGTGCGGTGGTTGGCCGGTTGTTCTGGTTGAAGTCATTGCGATGTAATTGTCAACGTTGTTGACTTTCACAGTAGGGCGCGCGTGTGTGCGTGTGTGTGAGCGTGTGGGTGTGTGTAGTAGGGAGCGGTGGTGTAGCGATTAGCGCGCTGCGCTATGAACCCGGCCACCCGGGTTCGATTCCCGCTCACGGCTAACGCCAGTGACGTTTGTTTGAACCGGTCCTGGGCCTCCCAAAGGTCGACTCAGCCTCAAATGAGTACCTGGTGCGATGCGTATACATCGCCACTGGGGAGACAAAGGCAGTCAGGCGTGGTGTTGGACACCCACCCCCTCGTGTTCCGTAGCAGCCTCCATAGGCGCTGCTCGCTACATTAACTTGCCCCAACAGCCCGCCAGAGGCTATACGGGGGATCTTTGTCTTTTGCCTTTGAATGTGTTATGGGCAAAATAAAATAACGTAATGCGGTACCGGATACAAGAAAGGCGCGTGTTTGATCGGCGTCG